CTGCGTGGCGCTACCTTACTGCGCAGTCGATAAGGCGGGTGGCAACAGGCTCCGCGTGTAGGTGGGCTGACCTCGACAGGGTCAGGCGTTCACATGCACTCGGTGGCGGGGGTGCACGGTTTGCTGAAGCCTGGCAGCTGTCCAGATTTGGTCGCAATCTGCATGAGGTGGCTGCATGGAACGACTGAGCCGTTTAAGTTTGCTATTTTCCCCGAAATACAAGACTGATGGGTTCATCTTTTCGTGACATCCTGCTGGCGGAGCGCCTACAGGTAAGAAACTATCTATAGGGTGCATTTCTTAGCGTGATTAAATAGTGCACTGTTTGCACTGTGCACTGGTTTTTGTGTGTGTGTTCGCAGAAGCGCAATAGCTAACAGGGAGCAATCGCAGGAGATTCCAACTGCTCAAGGCGAGTGCCAGTGGCAACGGGACTCCACCCGCAAAGCTCTAGAAAGTAAGGAGGAATACTAGGAGAAGACGCCGCAGTGGTTCGATATTGGGTCGATTTCCGCAGGTCACTGCTGCATTATGGCTCATCGTATTACCCACGTATCCATGTTATATACTTCAGTTACATAACCAATAATCTGTGCCTATCATCCCACACAAGCTTCCGTCGGAAGTTTCTGGGTCAAAGTTTTCTCAATATCAGAAGTTCAGTTGTTCCTTTGGTGAACCCCAGCACACTGCGGCATCCAGGTGAGCATTCCACGGCCAATTCAGCCAATAACCGCCCAGCAGGACGAGGACATCAGGAGCAGTTCAGCCAATTGGGGGCAACTCCGAGCTCTAGCCGCCCGACGACATTGCAGCGATTTGTCTGGTCGGTATCCGGTGCCAGAATGACCTGAGTAATATCGTCTAAAGCAAACAATATTTTAAGGGGCGACAAATATTTGAACAGAAAGCAAAAAATGTAAGAAAAATTAAATTATCCGCAGGTATATCGATTACAAATCGTTCTTGGAAAACGATATCCAAGTTCAGAAGGACATAAATAGGTAAACGGACCTTGATAATGACAGCTTGACAAAGGAAGTTTATTGTTTATTATTTCCAGAACCAGCATCAAGGTGCAGCCAGTCAGCAATGGTCTCCAACTAAAGGAGTTTTTGTGTTCTTGTCAGTGTTTTGCTGTCATAGTTGGTGGCTTTATTGGTGCAGGGAGCGCAAGCACTGCCATTTGCTAACAAAATGGCGAGCCACTTGGGTGGGGCCGACGAGGTTCCAAGTTCCATTGCTCCTCGCCAAGACAAGGCCGACCAAACCTCAGGTACAGAGGTGGTGAACAAATGATGACAGAACGTCACTCTGGCGTCAGGACGTTGACATGAGCCGCGCATCTCGTCTATTTTGACAAAGTAGGACACTTCAGTGACATCAGATGGTACCGATGCGGAGAAGGGGTGATGCAAGTGCCAAGTCTGTGGATGTTTTGTCACGAGACTGATGACGAAGGATAGAGGAAGTCTCCAAAATGGAGAACGGCTTCGTGGAATTATGGAGTACGTCACAACAGCTGTCACACAGCCAGACAAACGCCTTATTGCTGAGAAGGATGAGAAGGTCTGTAGGTTGGATCATGGATGATTGGTTGCGGGCTTAGACGTGGGCAAACAAAACACAATATTTTGTTCAGAAATTCACCGATCGGTTTTACTTCGCATGAAGAACATCAAAATATCTTGTAACGATGATCAGAAAATATCAAGCAATAGGGAGCAGGCACTTTTGATGATTGAGGAACGTACAAGCATACTCGACTCAAAATGTGTGATTCAAAATGTCATTTCGGCGAAGCGAATCCGCCACCTTCCTCCAATAAACTGAGAACTCGAGTACCGAGAGGAAAACCAATCATACCCACATTGTCCCTATGCCGGCTGACCTTCAATGCGGACACATTCTACACTCATCATAGATGCTCAACAAAGGCCAGTAAACACACAGGGCCGGTGTAAATACCGACATCGGCTCGGCGGCCACGTCAGCGGCACACCCAGTTCGCGCGCCGCCGCACCGGTCACCGAGTGCCGCTGACCTTGTGAGAGCGGGCGGTACGCGGGACCGTTCACCGCACTGCCTGACAGCCAAACGGCGTCTTTGGCGAGTCTTCAGATGTCAGTTAAGAAGACCTGAGCGGCTCCCACAGATTACCGGATATGCGCCATAGCAATGTCAAAGGATAGGTTGCGTGACGGCTTCGTGAGAACTATACTCGTATGGAGCGATAAATATCGGGAATGCCCCAGTTTATCTGTTTGCTATTATCAGCACTGACAGCGTCATCACGTTTAAAGTAGTGCTGCTAGACAAGACCAGAAATAGATCGTGTCTGTCCCTCCGAAGCAATAACATTGAAGCCGTTGAACACAGAGCGTATAAGCCAGGCATAGGTAAGCACCGATATATGCTGGCAACCGCCGATCCATGCCTCCTGACGACCGGCCCACCTTGGTTGGACGTTTCTGACCAGTAAAAGACAGGGCACACTCATCCATCGTGTTCACAGACAATGCTGAAGGTACTGACGTCAGTCGCTCGGTAATAACATGGGTTCGGAGCCCAGCTGGCTGGCACCGGGCCCGCATCGACATTTACGACGTCCCCCTCAACCCGCCTACGCCTTCATCGCTTCAGGCCATCAATTCATTCCACCTGAAATTTCCCCACGGGGCTCCACCTCACAATATGTCGATGTCAGGCTGAGTTAGCAACCAACAGGTGAGTCCCCCATGCTCTGTGTGTATGACGTCCGAACTCAGAAAGATATCAATATTGTGACTCACAAATTGTGATTTCTGTTTGTGATGAAAGAGACATTGTGACGGTTTGTCTCATCTTCCAGATGAATGTATAGTGAAAAGTGGTTATCCCAGTTACGCTACACTTCACAATACACATCGTGTCAACAATGGAAGACCCCATACGGATACGCCTGATCGTGCAATGAACACTGTTTTCTTTAGGCTTACGTAAGGATCGCTTACCAGTCGTGTAATGGCGGATGAAAAATTGATTGCTTGTTCGTTTTAGCAAAATGTGCTGGGCTGGAGAGTGGGCGCTATGCTACTGAGAAAGCTACCTACATGAAAAACAGCTCACAGGATAGCAACCGAACCAGAAGACTTGAACAAACTCAAGCTACGGAGCATAACATCATTCCCCATTCCCAGCAGCTGAGTCCATCGCTCAATGGCAACACGTTTACACAGGCCGGCAAGTTGGCCTCAGCCCTCAGTGACTTCAGCAAACCCCACGACCCCACCGGCACGTGGCTAGTTCATTAGTCGTTGTTCCAGCTCACATGATCCAGCATGACCACCGCGCCTCGCCGGCCAACGAAAGCCTGTGCTGTGCCAACGGCAGACCGGTGTTTTGATCTCGCTGACGGCGACTGACCTGCAGAGAGGTAGCAGGCCACACAGGGGAGCTTGGCCAGATGGGACATCCCTTCAGCTTCACATGCTTTTTGTTTCCGAGGTCTATCTATCCTTTATAGGCGAAGCCACTATCTATTCTTTTTTAACAAAGGATTTATTAAAAGACCTGTGCTTGGCGAGTCAGGAAGCAGGATACACGTGCACTTCGCCGCCCTTTCACGTGTGATGTATTCGGAACATAGAACGAGTGACGAGCGATGGATGCGATCCAGTCGGGTCAGCGCGTGTCCCATCACCCCTGCTGCCTTGAACCGCCGGAGTTATTAATTGCCGTCAGTACCAGTAACAATCAATGGGTCACGGTGAGGTCGCAGTGCCACGACACACGGCATCACAATGTCACAGCGTCACAATGTCTTCACAAGCTAACATCGAGGATCGTACGACAATCAGAATAAATCAGAGTGGAGAGTGAATTTCAAGAACCATACAGAGGGGGAAATTTTTCAACAAAATAAGCTGTTAAAGATCACAGATTATCAAACCTTGAAGTGCACAGCAAGTTTGAAAGTTGAAACTACCTTTGTTCCTTTTGTTCGTGATTGTGTGGGCATCTTAAAATATTATCTAAAAAAGCGTGACTGCTTCCGGCTCTATGAAGTTATTATCCAGGAAGCGATCTCAGAACCATTAATGTATTTTCTCCTGCATGACACGTGGCTGACGTTTTTATTTGTGCCTGTGAAAACTGGAACTCTACCACAAATTAACTTGAGTCTTTCGTAGAATCTCGGTTCCTCTGAGATCTATTTTTTGATTGGACTGAAACACCTCGCTCGCAATGCCGGAACCATTCGCAAACACGTCGTCTAACTATGCACCGGAAAACAAACAGCCGCTTTATACTCAGAAACGGAACAAAGGATTCACAATCAGGGCTTCCAACGAAGTGGTTCGGTTCGTAACAGTGAGGAGCCGTATTTGGTTACAGGACAATTTGCCGAACTGCGTTTTGCCGAATGCCTATTCGCCGAATGTCAATTTGCCGAATGCATTTTGCCGACGTGTCTTTTTGCCGACGTGTCAAAAAGGCGAAAGGGCTAAAAGTCGAAATGCAATTTGCCGACATGCCTTTTTGCCGACGTGCAAAAAGTCGAAACGTCAATTTGCCGAAATGTTAATTTGCCGAAATGTCAATTGATCGAAATGTCAATTTGCCGAAAAGTCAATTAGTCGAAATGTCAATTCGCCGAAATGCTAATTAGCCGAAATGTCAAATTGCCGAAAAGTCAATAAGTCGAAATGTCAATTTGTCGAAATGTCAATTCGTCGAAATGCTAATTAGCCGAAATGTCAAATTGCCGAAAAGTCCATTAGTCGAAATGTCAATTTGCCGAACTGCCAATTAGCCGAAATGTCAATTTGTCGAAATGCCAGTTTGACGAAATGTCAATTAGTCGAAATGTTAATTTGCCGAAATATCAATCAGCTGACACGTCAATAGGTGGAAATGCCAATTTACGGTGATGGCAATGTGCCGAAATATCAATTTGTCGAAACATCATTTATGTACATAACACTTCGCTGGCTTCACTCGCTCCATAATTACAGCGGTTTCCATATGCAATGTATTGTCTTTGGCAGTTTCGCTTCATCAATCACATGAACTATACAGTCAAAGTATCCATCACTTTAATCTAGTTACTTCCAATCTTCAATCTACAATCATCTTCGTCAAACAGACTAATCAATCTAGCTATTTTCAGATATTACACTATCAAACAACCGTTCGTCAAGCAAACTGCACGCACTCGCATGTATTTGCTCCTCTAAGCTCTCCCACCGCGCTACACATATATCGGTTAGGCTGTCAGCCCTCCGAAACACGTCCCTAACCTACACCGCCAGGGGACGGGGCGGGGACGGCTGCCTGGGGGGGGGGGGGGGGGGGGCAGAAGGAAGACGTGGATGACGTGGCGAAGACGGTGCATGAGCCACTTTAGAACGCGAAGTTGTGCGCGATCCCTCGCACCAGCTCCGCAACACTGAGCTCGCCGTCTTGTCGGCGCTCCACTGTACGCTGCACCCTTGCTGCCAGCACTACCCACTGGCGTCGCCGCCCCGGCTCCAGGCCACGGATAAGCTTGTCCAGCTCTGCGCGTCCCGTGTCCTCCTCATCCCGCAGGGTTCGGAGCAGGGTGGCCGTGCTTGGATGGTTGCAGGCCAGTCGACTCTGGAAGCCATGATGCCAGCCTTCCAGGGCGTTTGTAGTTCGGGCCAGCCCGGCCAGCGTACGATCATACTGGCACCACTCGCGCGGCTCGAAGAGCGGTGGTATCCATCTGAGAAAACAATAATATTCAAGTTACGGAGCGGTTACGGGGTACGAAGCGGAACATAGCCAGTTTGAACTCATACAACAGATGACGTCTTCTAAGATCAAACAATTTTACCTGTACCCTAGGGGAGGGAGAGAGCGTTTTAACCCTCGCCGAACCTATTGTTTTTCTACATACGCGCCGGCCGGGGGGGGGGGGGGTACGATCCCATCGCCGTTTCGCCCCTAATGAAGCTAGAGCATCGCGGAAAAACGAGCGTGTACGCCGTTACGAAACGCAGCGATTGGTACCCGATTTCAAGGGCTCAGATCAACCGGTGACCTCTGAGGTCAGGTCAATTGGTCTAAGGTACAGATTTTTTAGCAAATAACGTCGCAAAAAAATAATTGCAGAGTCGCGATTTTTACAGCATCGTGTTCGCCTTGCTCAGGCACGTCGAAGCGCATACTTTTTGCTTGGGTGAGATCAACTTTAGGTGTTGACCTCTGGTCACGGTCAGGTCAGAACCCCCAGGTGACGAACTTGGTCGAAAGATTTCATGTCGCATAGCATTCGATTCGGCAGGTTTTCCCGAGTCCATTGGTGGTTTTTCCGACTCGCTAGCTCAATTTGATCAGGAGTTATTGACGGAAAACTCTTAGGGACTCTAGTGACATCATTTACGACGTCACGCAAGGCCAACAATGCAAAAGTGAAGCATCGAAGCTTGCATGGATTGCATGAAATCACGATTCCGTGTGGTTGAGATAGTTTGAGCTTCGTTTCCGGCGCCAAAATAACAGTTTTCATTTTTCCCATCGACTTAAAATGGTGAGGTCATGAAAATGACCTGACCTCATATGAACTTCAGGAAAAATCCGAGATACACAAACTGTGCGACTCTTAATCTTCGCCCGTATTGGTGTTTTGCCAGCCTCACGAACGTACGAGTACCTATAAGGGGGAGGAGGGGGGGGGGGGGGGTCCGTTGGACCCCCTTGTCGTTTGGCCCCTGATCAAGCTAGAGCTTCGCGAAAAAAAACGAGCGTACTGCCCGTCACGAGAAGAAGCCGATGATGCCCAATTTTAAGGACCTAGGTCATTGATTGACCTTCCAGGTCAGGTCAATGACCCAAAAGTCGGGAAAATCGGGACCTGTTAGAACGTCGTAAAGTGTGACTGCCATGGGGTTTTCGGGGTGCTGATCACGAATATCATGTTAGTTTAGATCACAGATGATATCTTCATGCATTTAAACCAGGTCGGGTCAGGTCGGGTCAGGTCAACCAGTAGGGGTCCCGCCGAGTATTCGTAGTACATGTCAACCGCCTCTGACAGCTTCGTAACATGTTACGAAGGAAACAAAACTACTTCGTAAATGTTCAAATGATTCCTAAATTCGTATTCAGCTAAAAAAACTACCCCAAAAACATGTAAAACTCGAAAAAGTGAACCGAGGTCATCAAAGGTCAATGACCTGACCTGGCTTTCAGGTGACCTTGACATCCACTCTAATGCATGGGGGCGACATCATATCCCATGTTTGAACGCTTGAAACCACGAAAAGACTGCAAACGCGCGGCTACGCCAAGCCGACCTAAGCCGAATCACGATTCCGGCGAAACATGTTCCCGAAAAGTAGGTCATAGGTCAAAGGTCATTAGAGTCAAGGTCATGAAATTTTCAGCGAAGGTGTAAAATTGCTTAACGCGAGGGAACTGAAAGTTTTGTTGCGATCGGCCGCTTTTTACGCGAATTATTCGCGAAAAACCGAGGGCGGGGTTCGTTCGACCCCCCCCCCCCACCTATACGGGCGAGGGTTAATGAATACTAGGTACCGTAAGTTTCATCTCCCTGTGAAAGCTCCTCTGTCAGAGAGGGCGTTGCGAAGTTGCGACATCGGAAGACCGTGCAGAGGTTCACTTATAACGTCATAGGTCAGTGACCTGACCTGACCCGAAAATGCGGCTGATGTCAGAAGGTCCGGCTCGAGTCAAAGGTCAGGTACCGTAAGGTGGGGCTATTTAAGACAGTGGGACTATTTGAGACAGTATTTAAAATTGCTATAAAATAAAAACCGTTTGAAATTCATGCTTAATTTTTGCTCAGGGGATTTACTGCTCGATTCGACACCTTCCTGAGCAAAAATATCACATAAAAATCAAACGCTCTTCATTTTATAACGATTTTAAATACTGTCTCAAATAGCCCCACTGTCTCAAATAGCCCCACTTTACGGTATGTCAAGTTTCAGCTCTCCATCTGCAGCGTATAGCGCCCTCACGCTCGGCGGTAACCGGACAAAAGATCGTAAAGCAGAAGATCGTATGGCAGAAGATCGTAGGCAGTTGATCGTATGTAAAATATCGTAATGGATAAAGATCGTACGACATAATGCTCGTATGGACAAAAGATCGTATTCGCTAAAGATCGTCAAGGAAAATGATCGTGTGCCAAAAAGTCGTAATGGATAAAGATCGTGCGACATAACGATCGTATGGACAAAAGATCGTATTCGCTAAAGATCGTGAAGGAAAATGATCGTATGCCAAAAAGTCGTAATGGATAAAGATCGTACGACATAATGCTCGTATGGACAAAAGATCGTATTCGCTAAAGATCGTCAAGGAAAATGATCGTACGCCAAATGATCGTATGAGATAAAGATCGTACAGTTAAAATATGGTATTCACATGGCAGGCACCGTTCCGTGCTTCTATACTCAGGATACTGAAATCCTTCTCCTCCACGCCGCAACCTTCCTCCGGGCTGGACTGGACAGGCAACTTTATCTCATGCGGGCTGCTCCCTTGGAGCGGCACCGCTGCTCCCGAGGGAGCACACCCCGTAGCCGGGTGCAGTGAGTGCCTTGGGGCTGGGTGGCCTGTCCTCTGGACGGGCTCAGCCCCGGCGACTCACTAGGGTGCCTGCCCAGACCAATGTCTCCCCCTATATCCTATCATCCTCCCGGCTCTGAAATGGTCTCATTGGACCGAAAGGGCCTAACCCAACAAAACAAAACAAACAAACAATCACAGACACATGGTGCAGCCCAACTCATGCGCATACAAAGCTTATCAATTTCTGTGTTCGCTTAGTAAGTGGCCGTCGTAAGCTTAGATGGCTCAATGACACCTAAAAGCAACGCGTTGTATATGTGCCGAATAAATGAATGTATGTGCTGCCGTTTTCATGTACCTATTTGAAGTGAATACAACTAAGCCCATGTTCCTCCCCCCCCCCCCCACCGCAACGATCTTTTACAACATACGATCTTTATCTTACGATCATTTTCGTACGATCTTTTGCATACGATCAATTGCTTTACGATCTTTTGCTTACGATCTTTTTACAGTACGATCTTTTACAACATACGATCTTTATCTTACGATCATTTTCGTACGATCTTTTTCCATACGATCTGCTGTCTTACGATCTTTTGTCACGTAATCCGCTCGGCAGCGTGAGGGCGCTACTGGCGCCAGCTGGCGGCTGCTGGTGTATCTACCCAGTCCCACCCACGTATTGCTGGTTGAGGGGGGGGGGGGCGTCTAACGCCCCAGCTGACAGCTTCCCAACTAAAAGACGCAGTGAGACGCGCAAGGTGACAAACAGATATCTGTCAACAATACGCACCTGATAGACAAACAATTTAAGTTTAGAGATCACAGGTCAGGTAAAAGTTCAAAATTAACGTGTTTTCGTCCTTTTTCGTGCATTGTATTTGTTACGCTTACCGCCCTGCCACGTCGTGGCCGATGTAGGTTCTCTCGAAGTAGGGCAGCAGCTCAACGGCCTCGTCGGGCAGCTGTCGACCGACCTCTCCAAAGCCGTCCGGGATGTCTGCCTCTTGCAGGAACGCGATGGCCGGCAGGCAGCGTAGCTGAAAAAGAAAACGATGACATGATTTCAGCGATCATTTCCTGGATGTCTGTAAAATATCGAGACAACTATCGACAAACGGCGTTTGATATATCGTTCAAAGATCTACATACAACTTTTACAAATAAAAAATATTTTTGGGTCAGGTCAAAATTGAGGTCACCAGAGGTAAAACAAAATAAAATGTTTTGGAAATAGCAACCCTTATAACACTTCAACTAAGAAAGGTAGAGACATATATAGAACGATTCGCCCCCCCCCCTCCCCACCCCGCCGGGAATAGGGTTTAACAGTATAACTAAATAAACACTTATAGAAGGATACCAAAGTGACAGGTTACTGAAATACGAATTTTCGACGAAATACCTGCAGCGTTGTAGACAAAATAGTTACCTTGAGCGCGAAGTCGGCGTCGGCTGCATACGCAGCCTGAAGCCCCAGCTCCTGAACCTTCCGCCAGACGGCTTGCGACATGTGAAAGAAGCAGAGCTTCAGTTCCTTCTCCGGAAACACAGCTCTTACCGCGTTTTTGGCGGCGATCTCCAGGTCGATAAGAATAGACCCGACAAAATCGGTATCGGGAAACCTTTCCAGAATCGCTTCACGTACGACACTCAGTAGCTGTCTGTACGTTCTCTCGGTCTTGTCTACGAGTAGCGCATAGACACATGGGAATGTCTGTCCCAGCACACACGTGTGCAGAGTGTATAGCTGAGTGAACAGAGCTGGTGCCGCTTTAAATGTGCCATCCGCGAACCAATGCTGTCCGTTGGCGAGCTGCATTAGACCCCAGTCACTGCTGAATACCAGCATCCGCTTGCCTTGGTAGCCGTCATCCTCTGCACTATCATACAGGAGGAAACGCTCTGGTGGCTGATCGGGTTTTGGTTTCGTCAGACGGTCTTCGTTGGCGATCACGAGCTCCTCGATCGTCCTCGGCTGGCCGATGTTCTGCCCGACAGCCTGTCTGTACCGCCGTATATATCTGTGAACAGAACACAGCTTTTAGCAAAATTCCTTTTCAATATAGTACGTTTTCGGAGTACACTTAACCCTCGCCGGCACAGGCCATTTTGCGTCCTTCGACGGCACAAGGGCGGGGGGGGGGGGGTACAACCCCCCTGATCGAGCTAGAGCTTCAGCGGAAAATAACAAACGTCTTGCCCGTGACAAGAGGAAACCGATGATACTCAACTTTAAGGTCCTAGGTAATCGGTTGACCTTCTAGGTCAGGTCAATAGCCCAAAAGTCGGGGAAATCGGGACCTGTTAAAACGTCGTAGAGTGGCTGCGACGGGTTTTTTTCGGGGTGCTGATTACGAATATCATGCTAGTTTTGATAACAGATGAAGTCTTTATGCATTTAGGCCAGGTCGGGTCAGATCAGGTCAGGTCAACCATTAGGGGTCCTGCCGGATATTCGTAAATCGTAGCACGTCTCAACCGCCCCCGAGAGCTTCATAACATGTTACGAAGGCATCAAAACTACTTCGTACCTAAATGTTCAAATGGTTGCTAAATTCGAATTCAACTCCAAAAACTAGCCTAAAAACATGTAAAACTCGAAAAAGTGGACCGAGGCCATCAAAGGTCAATGACCTGACCTGACCTTCATGTGACCTTGACTGTTGACATCCGCCCTTATGCATGGGAGCAGCATCAAATCACATGTTTGAATGCTTGAAACCACGAAAAGACTGCAAACGCGCGGCTAGTGCGAGCCGACATCGCCGAATCGAGATTCTGGCCAAACATGGTCTCGGAAAGTAGGCCACAGGTCAAAGGTCATTTGGGTCAGGGTCATGAAATTTTCAGGGTAGGTGTAAAATTAATCAACAAGACGGTACTGAGAGTTTCATTGCGATCAACCGCTTTTTGCGCGAGATTCGCGAAAAAAAAAACTTCGGGTGTATCAACTGTGCATCCTCTGTGCCGGCGAGGGTTACAAGTAATTGATAATAGCTCGGCCAGCATGCATACTGCATAGGCATCTTTCCCCGTGCAAAAAGAATATCGAATATAATTTTTAAGTAGCATTTCTAGGGATTCAAATTTGTAAATGGCCAAACTACAAGACACCATATGGATAGGTATGTTTGATTCCAATTTAGAGGACAGAAGCAGGGGCCATCAATATTGATATAAGCTTGCCATGAACCTGCTGAGATATAAGAGAACATAGATGGGGGGGGGGACAGGGGAAAGAATCTGCAAAAAAAAAATAGGACAGCATCTGCTAAATAGATATAATATACGAGTGCACCATTTTGCTACATTTACGAGCTGGATAAGAAGGCTTACCTGTTGACTTGTGGGGCAGCAGGCATGCCGGTGCGTGCAGCCCGGCTCATGTTTCCTTCGACGGCCATCCTGATCCGCGCAGGGGCTTCCGTCGTCTCCTGCGCCCTCTCCTTCAGGCTGGCTCTTGCTGCCGTGCGCTCAATTGATTCAGCATTTGGCGCGTGATTGTGTGATGCCGTGAGTTGGAAGCCGCCCCCGTCTGAGCAAATGCCCCTGCCTTTACATTTGAGGCGAAATCGGGCGCTGCACCTCACGTAAGTGTTTCCATTTGCTACTTTGTCTATGTTGTAGAAATAACCTTCGTGCACAAGTCGCCCCCGCCGGGTTTCTCCTATCCACTCCATGCCTTACCACTGCTGGGGTATATACCCTGGCTGGGGTGATTTAAAGAGGAAACAATCCACGCAATCCCGATCGACCACGGCGCTCCCACAAGCTCCCCACCTTGCACACGATCTGCGCCATTAATGCCGCCCGCATTGTACGTAAACAATCTTTGGCGCCTTTCTAACACTTTATTTAATATTGCATCAATTAATGAGCTTGCTTGAAACAAGTCCACTGTATTGTTAGCATATATAAAAGTGTACATAAATTTTATTGCTTTTTTCTTGACATAATATGCTTCTGAGCAAACTACCACAAAAGATTTGCTTCTTTCAGAAAACATGTTGCAGTGTTAAACTGCCTGCTGCCACCTGTCGCTAAAAACAGTTATCAGTGATTGGATAAAATAGGTGGCTCTGTGCGTCTCGTTGAGCGGTGTTGGGCAAAACCAAGGCTATAGGTAAAACCAAGGCTATGGTAAAACCGGTAAAACTATAGGTACATACTGAGTACCAATTAGTACCTTATTACCTAACTTTTAAATGGCTATTTCTGTCAAATTGAGGCTCGGGTATGGTAATCAGCAATTCATTGGAGTCGCCAGCTTTATGCATGATGAATCTGAAGAGTGGCAGAAGACGTCATTCTTTCTGTCCGTACTCTCGCACTGATCGGCCGGCGACTCCCGACCACAGTCCGGCCGAGAACATCTGTTCTGGTGATGCGGCGCTTCACATAACGCCCGATATCGGTCACACCCGGCGCGGGACTTTCCCGTGCCGGCTCTCCACGCTCTCCGTCCGCCGTGCCGGCGCACGCATGTGCATTTACGGCCTCTGCTCCGACCCAGGCATGGGCGATCCCAGCCCCGGCCGGAGGGGGGACGGCTCATGATACGTACGGTTCTCCAGGGTATTAGTCGTTGGTCGCTCGGCGAGCGGGAGGGCAACCAGTTCCGCCCCTGTATCGCGTGACCCCTTGCTCCGCCCAGTTACGCACGAGCGTACTTCACGCCGCGTAGTAGCGTGGGGAGGGGAGGGTTAGAATGGTGGCATGTGTAGAGGCTAGAACCGGTTTCCACCGCCATGCCACCGCCCAGCGACATGGAGCGGGGTCAGTGACCAGGGCGCAGGGAAAGGTCAGAGGTCAGCTATAACGTAGAGCTTTGTGTCTCCCTCCCCTCGCGTGTAACGACCGCACGACAGCGGCCGGCCGCCGATCAGGCTTGACATGTCAAGGCCACCCGCAGTCAACGGGCTCAGAGGGTTGGTCGAGTGCGCGTCCGTGGCTGACGACAGTCTCGACCATGTGCTATGGTGCCGATAGACTAGCAAGGGTAATAAGTTTTTGTTCAGTGCATATGGCTGCTGGGGTGTGTTATCTTGATATGATGCTTTGTAACGTGTATGATACGCCTAAAACCTCGCTGGCAGTGGCCGAGAGGAGAGGGGGGGGGAGGCGGGTGCCGCCTCCACATGTTTATTTTTGTTCATAGCTGGGAGAGCTGAAATTTGGCAAGCCTGACCTTTGATTCAAGGTGAATTTTTATGACAGCAGCTGTATTTTCACCCTCGCGCCCATACACTGTAAACTCATTTTGACAAGGGGTTGTCGTACAACGACGAGCGTTTTTCAAAAATACTAATAAAGGTTATGTTGAACGACGAATATCTTGTCATAGTTGGTTGAATCAACAGGGCAAATATAAGTATCAGCCCCAGCACCTAGTCGACCATTCATAAAATTGACGAGAATTAAGGAGGCTATTGTGAAAACTACCAGGGTCTTATTCGTAATATGGAACATAGATTTGCTTATGATTTGTAATTTATATCCTTGTCGAAAGAACCAGCTACACCAATGCAACAATACTGATACATACTTATGTAATCTATGTCCTTGTCGAAGGTATCAGCTACACCTTTGCAACACGGACTTAGCTACGCTAGTTAGACGTGTTAGTAGTAACATACACAAAGCTGTTACTTGTAATATAGGTGGCGCCAAAAACGTTTCCGGCCGTTTCAATTTGAAAGTTTCAGTTGCGCACCAACCGCCGTGCAGTGATGTGGCCTCCTGCGCACTTCCGTGAAAATGGTAGGTGATGACAGTGTTCGGTCGTTTTTGTCATTTTTTAATGAAATGTATGTTTTTCAACCGAAAGCAATGCAGATTGAATCAGAGAAATTTGCTGAATAAGTGCGTGATGTATGGAAGTAAGCACAATGTGTTCTGCTCCAGGCCATATTGTTCTGCATATGCTATAGGTAGTATAGCGATGCTTTCTTTCAGGCTTTCATCAGGAGCGAAAGCTCCAGCCTGCAAGCGAGGATCGCTACACTGAAGACAGCAAACTGCAGAAACTCAAGAAGTCTAAAAATGAAAAAGCGCCTGAATTCCAAGGGGCTAATGAATTTGAATGCCCCTTAGATTCGAATGGGTTTGCCCCTTAAAATTCGTGTTCCGCAGACTTAGAAATAACATGTTTCCGAATCAAGGCATTCCTCGATGTTGCGAGTCCCCAAACCAGTTATTGCGAGGCAGGGAACCCAAGTTGACTATCAACTCAAACCTAATGCATGTAAACGTGTGATTCTACAGTGTACTCGTAAGTGATGACCGCTCATTGCCTTTTCGCATGCGTTATTGCCCTTGCCCCTTGGGTCATCAGTGTCATCACTATTGTGTGTGTAATGTGTATGTACCATTTTAAATACATGACCTACTTTCAGTAATGCTGTTTTGCTGTAATAATGAGACTGCAGAGCGGCGACCTGCGATTTGTGGAGAAAACTGACGAATACAAGGGAGGTCTTTGTAAAACGTTACAAGCCTGAGACTAGTAGATTGCTTACAAGTACAGGTTTGCTGCACGTAGACATTACTATGCTAACTAAGATTTGCATTGATTTGACTTAACAAGTACACGGCTCAGCCCTGTTAAATGCAAACATGCGCAGGTCTTTACCTAGTAGCCGCATGATTATAACTAGGAACACAGTCGTTCACACAACAATGACAAAGCAAACTTTGGTAGCTGGTCTAACGAACTACATGTGAGTGGGTTGTAAGAACAACTACCATGACAAACAATAGGGTCGTTCGATGACATGGCAAAGGGTGCGGGGATTTGCGCTAAATAATTTTCCTTGTAAAAGTAACAAACGTTTGTTGAAATGAGTTTACAGTGTATTGGTGTTTTGCCAGCGTCTATCGTAAAGGGGGGGAGGGTCCGTTGGACCCCTTTGCCGTTCAGCCCCTGATCGAGCTAGAGCTTCGCGGGAAAAGAGCGTGTTTCCCGTGACGAGAGGAGGCCGATGATACCCAATTTTAAGGTCATAGGTCATTGGTTGACAGGTCAATATAACTCAAAAGTCGGGGAATCGGGACCTGTTAGAGCTTCGTAAAGTGAAGCTGTTATAGGGTTTTGCGGGGTGCTGACCACGAATTTCAAGTTAGTTTTGATCACAGATGATGTTTTCGTGCATTTAGGCCAGGTCGGGTCAGGTCAGGTCAGGTCACATGTTACGAGGGAACCAAAACTTCTTATTAAATGCTCAAACGGTTTCTAAATGCGAAATCAACTCCAAATTCTACCCTAGAAACATGTAGAACTCGAAAGAGTGAACAAAGGTCATCAAAGGTCAGTGACCCGACTGACCTTCACGTGACCTTGACACCCACTAGAATCCATGGGATCAACATCCTTTCACATGTTTGATCGCTTAAAGCTAAAAAGACAATAAAACGCGCTCTACTCGAAATACGCCAAAACGCGATTCCGGCCAAACATGGTCTCGGAAAACAGGTCACAAGTCAAAGATCTTTTGAGTCAGGGTCATACAAATTATAGGGTAGGCGTTATATTGATTAACTCGAGGGTACTGAAAGTTTCGTCGCAATCAGCCGCTTTTTGCGCGAGTTATTTGCGAAAAACTGAGGGTAGGAGGTCTGTTCGACACCCTCCTACAAGTGCGAAGGTTAAGGTCAGGCCGTTGACCAATGACGTCAAAAGTGAACCTCTGTAAGGTCCCAAAATGTCGCGACCTCGCAGCACCCTTCGTGCCAGGGGACTTTTCAACGGGGAATGAAGCTTATATGATCTAGTACTATCTCCCAGAGGCCTCACAACTTGTATGTAGCTATCTCGTATTTTTCTTAAGAGTCACCTGAAGTCAGGTCGGTCACGCAACCTCATGATTATTAATCAATTGGGAAATATGAAAACTGTTATTTTGGCGCCGGGAGCCATCTAAAGCTGTCTCAAGCGCACTAATTCGCGATTTTATACAATCTTTGGAAGCCCCAGCATCCACTTTTCCATTCTTAAAGTTAGGCGACTTCATTTATGACGTCAGTAAGGTTACAGGAGTTTTCACCAAAAAGTCCCGATCAAATTGAGCTAGCGAGTCGGGAAGCCACCAATGGACTTGTGAGGACCTACCGAATCAAAGAAGCGATATGACCTCCTTGAGCCAGCCTCGTGGCCTGAGTGGCTCTGCCCTGACATGACGTGAGGTGAACACCTTAAATTGACCTCAACAAAAACAAAACGCTATTCGACGCGCTTGAGCATGCAAAACTCAATGGTGCCATTATCTTGGCTCAGTAACCACTTATGGTGAAGTTGTTTACCAAAAACCGATCCCGCGACTTGGAGCACTTATACTGACCTCAGAGTTTACCGGTTGACCTGAGACATTCAACTCGGGTACCAGTTGCTGCATCTCATACGACGCACGCGCTCAGTTTTATCCGCAAGGCGCTAGCTCAATTAGGGGCAAAAAGACGGAGAGGGGTCATAATCGCCCCCTCCCCTCGGCCGGGATATATGCAGAAACCCCAAAATTCCATTGAGGGTTAACCCTCGCCCATGTAGGGGGGGGGTTGGTGCAACCCCTCCCCCCCTGAGGTTTTTCTTAGCTACACGCCGAACCGTTTCAGATAGCCTGCTCAAATTTTCAGTACCCTATGGGGCATCCTTTGCGCAACTTTTGGTATTTTTTTTGTCAAGGTCATGTCAGGTCACGGAGTTATGACGTCATAAAGGGAACAACCTCCGGCCAGATTTACGCTAAATTGGAGATTGCTTCACATTGGTATAAATGCCGACTGACCTGACACACTGATGGATTGTTTTAGAAGAATCATAACCGGCTGATTTGACATTGGCACAATGTCCGTTGACCTTTTCAAGGTTACTAAAGGTCAAGGTCAGGTCAGTGACCTCGGTTGACCTGTAATGACTTCTTGCACTTGTATGCCCTTTCGGGGTATTTTGATGCCCTGAATTCGAATTTGCTATCCATTTCAGGCATCGCCGGTTGTTTCTTGTAGTTCATTTTGGGTCAGGGTCAGGTCAGTGACGTCACACGCCTGACGTGACCCAATGCACAAATGACCTTGCAGACTTCCGATGCTCCCAACGCCTCATTTTTAGAGTTATGACATCGAAATACACACCAAACGATAGAGAATTGATCAAGGATCACGATAGTGAAGGTTTAAAGTCGATATCTCTTACCATTTTGCCGCAATCGGCGCGGAAATCTGAAAAAGTTAGATTTTTCCGAAAATTTGACCTTTGACCGGTCATAAGTAGGTCAAATGTTGACCTAGGACCAAAAAATATACCACCAATCGCGAGATCTCGTTGAGAGCAATCCGTTGGTCTTTTCCGCTAAGCTCTACGACGCTCCGTTTTCAAACGCC